ACTGTCCGGAAGTACGTTTGTAACTGTATCAAAAAATTAATGATTGGCTTGTTTCATAGAAAAGAGGAGGACAAAATGCTGCTTGTTTCCACTTACTCATGCTTTCTAATCAGACTTCTGGTTATAGGCGAGTACCCTCACGGCGACCGTCGCAGATTGTTGTCATTGAAAAAGATGAAAAAGATATGACTGAAGCCGAAAAAGCAATGCTGGTATGCGATTTTCCGCTTTTTAATAGACAGCTAGCGAATCGCTCAGCCGAAATTTTTTATTTTACCACTTCAAACTACTTTTTACTGTTTGAGGACATTTCCCGCAATTTATTTAAAATATGCTTGCCAAATATAGTTCTGAACCATTGGTGAATACATTATTGACTGATTTGTGAACTATTTTATTTATTATGAATGACTGTGTAATAATCTTATACGCAAAATGTGATGGTTAAAAGAAACATTGAGTTATGCCTAATTTTCTTCGGAATCTGAAAAAAAGAAAAGAAGCAGCATCCGTCTTTTTTGAAGAATTCTGATCTATTGTCTAGGAAATCCGGTCCCAAGCCTACATTGCAAAAGTGCGTTTAGATAAATGAATATGAAGATCAGTTACTTTGCAGGGTGCAAAAAGACGCCAAGAGGAGGAAGAAGCTGTGAAACTTCAAGAGTATGAAGAGCGACGTCGGGTTGAACGCGAGCGAGAAGAAGAGGAGTTGAGGAAACTTAAGGAAAAAAAAGAGCGAAGAAAACTGGAACGAGAGGAGGAAGAGCGTCAGTTCCAGGAAAAACTGAGACAAGAAGAAGAAAGAAGAAAGCAGGAAGAGGTTTACAAACCTTTTCAGTAGCTTTATCCCTGAATGATATGTGTAAAAAATCGCTAAAATTAGTTCCAGTTCGTATGTTCCATAAAGCTTTCCCAGATAGTCTAGTACAAAATTCTGTTGTTTTAGCAGTCAATTTAACTCCCTTAGAAATGCGCATGTAGAGGCACCTAACACATTTAAACTGAACTGGATCTCTAGCGCTGTTTGAATTTTCATTTTTTTCTAAGATTCCTTTTTTAGTTTTAACGCTGATGATGTATAAAATGAGCTTTATTACAAATGTTTAGACAAAGACATTGTGTTTGGAATGTTTCCTTGGATTTCAGTAGAATTATGTCTCGCACGTCACGATGTTACAGCCCAGTGCAGTTGCCTCGGACAGGAACGAATCAAACAAATTGGCTCGTCGTGTGAGCATCTAAAATATTTTTCAGGAGGAGCGTAAAGCGAAGCAGGAAGCCGAGAAACGCAAAAAAGAGGAAGAAAAACGAAAACGCCAACAGATGTTGTCATCGCAGTTTGCAAATGCAGCCACGGGACAAACAGGAAGGAACTTTGTCATTCCACAAAAGACAGACAGGGCTGATAAATTTGGCAATATTGTTCAGGTAAATCCATGGAAAATTCACAACTAATTACACTACGTTAGCTTTTCCCAGTGAGTAGCACAGTTCTGTCCGGTCATCGTAGTTGACGGCGAGATCCACAACCTTTCTGCAAAAAACATAAAGATTTTTTTTTTTTTGCTGATACATGCTCACATTTTAATAGCATCTCGCACTCAAAAGGACTTTGGCTAATTCGCAACTTTAATGTGTGAGCGATCGA